CACACATATAACAGTATAATATCATCGCTGCTTATAATAAACAGAGAGGAAAAAGCCTCCATTTCAGAAGAAGTAGACATAACCTATATTACATGAACCTGAGACTCTACTTTTAAGGCCTCTGTTGTTCATGATGCCACGTTACATCTCAGCAGTCAGACTGGCTTCTTGTCTCTCCTTTGGTATCTTAGGTTGGTCATTTAGAGGCCCAACCACTAGATGAATGGCTTTGTATTTTTCTTTCTGATGAATGAAAGGGAGGTAGAGTTGAGGTTAGGAACAATCTAGACTACTTGGGGATTTTGGCCTAACTCATGGACTCTCCAGCCATCTAGCTACAAAGATTCTGACAAAGGCTCAAGTAGAAATCAAAGCTTCCCCTTTCACAACTGCTGAGAGCATCGTGTCCCCTTTCTGTTATGCCAGCCGGCACTGTCCTGAAGACATACACAAGTCTCCTGGGTCTTATGCCCAGCTTCGGAGGATCAAATCTCCCCAGTCTGCCCGCTGGAGATAAGGTCATATCATGCTTAGAGGAGAGACTTTCAAACAGACCAAAGAATCCATTTCGGTGTAACTGTCCTTAAGGAAGAAGAACATGATCCTATGGGATAATATAATTCTGCATCCATAAATACATGAGAACAACTGCATGGAATTGTAGATACTTAGAAGACAATCTTATTGAGCTGCTTTTAACGGAATTGGGGTTCAGTGGGAGTCAGGTCAAATTGCTTCTAGTCTTTTGGTCTTTTAAAATCATTCCAAGTCACTGTGCTAAGGATTTCCCAGTGACAAGGTTGGACCATATGGAGAGCACCTGAGAGGTCCTGTGAGTGGCCATCATCTTCCCAGTTCACTAAAACAGCCTCACTTTTATCTGTTAAATATATGAAAGTTCTGATAAAAAAAAAGCAAGATGATTCTAAAGGTCACTGTGATAATCATTTTTAGGACCAAAGGGAAAAAAATAGCTTAAGGTCGTTATCCTAATTCTATACATGTGAAAAAACTCGGGGTAAAACGTTATTACCCACCATCTCTGGCTCATCAGTTTTTTAAAAAACCTTGTGATGTGCTGGCTGAGTTACTTCAAAAAATTCTTGCCCACCTCCAGGGGGCACCATTCATAATGAGGATGGGTCAGTGGTGCTCCAGCAGGGGCCCCTCAGTGGCCCTGAGGAAGACACTTTCTGAGCAGACTGGGCTTCTATTTGGATCTCATTTCTGTCACTTACCAGCTACCTGACCCTTGGCAAGCTATTTAATAACCTCTCTGATCATCTTTCCTTCTCTATAAAATGGAGATAGCAAATTGCATTTCCAAAGTCTTCTGTAAAATCTAAATGAGATAACATATGTAAGGAACCCGGTGTGGGGCAGCAGACCTACACTAGTAGTTTTTTTAATCACAAAAACAAACCACATCTCACAAGAAAGCAAGTATATCTAGGGCTTGTGGCCCAAGTCCTATATCAATAAATAGTATGAAATTGGGAGCAGCTCTCATCTGCTGAAGATGGGTAGGTGCCCCCAAATTAAAGGGGTCAGAATGTAGTAACCTGAGAACTGTACAATTTTTCTCTCTGAAATGTGATAACTGGCAGAAAGGAAGACTAATCAGCATGCTAATTAATTAGGATGTGTTGGTACAACTGTTATCAAGGATAAACAACTGTTTAAATAAGACAGGCTGCCTTCATTAAGGACATATGTGCTGCTAACAAATTACTATGTGCTTAATTCAAACTGTTTGCCTTCTTTAGGACCAGTCAATATTCAACTGCACAAAATCTTTTATCTGATTTTTTTTAAAGATTTATTTATTTATTTATAAAGCACTGGGTACAGTCAGAAGCACGGGAGGGTGAGAGAATTCACCAGAGCCAGAGCGGGGAGCAGAGCGGGGAGCAGAACAGGCAGAAGGACCGAAGTACACTGCTGAGGGGAGCAGCGGGCGGCAGGAGAGGTCTGGGCGCCATGTGGGACCCTTGCCCGTCGGTCGGGGATCGAACCAGCGCTGCAGAGGCTGCAGGCAGCTTTGCAACCCAGCGCTCAACCACTGCGCCACCGGGGAGGCCCTATGTGATTCTTAAATTAAGAAGGGATTAACCTACACAATACAGCTATAATTTAGGATTATAGTTTCTCCAAATGATAGAACTGAGAGGGATTTCAGAGATCATCCAGTCTAAGCTCCCCATGTTACACCTAGGAACACTGAGATCTAAAGAAGGAACACCTTCATCACAAAAGGCAGAGCTCATTTCTGGCACTTGGTTACATTAACTTATTCTCTTTCCATTATAAGGAATCAACCTTTTGCTTTATACACTACAATTGCCAACAACCTAACATGGGTGATATGGATTTCTATCAGAATTCTGCATGATTTGGGGACTGTGGGTATGGAAAACACTGGGTCAATGACTGTCAAGCACTTGGGTGAGACTGTGTGGGAAGGTCTAAGAATAGTAAAGAAGGTAAGTGAAGAGCCTGTTAGAAAGGCTGTTAGGGATCGCCCAGTTTGGGATTTGGTAGTGGCAATTATGTCTCTTAAGGAGTCTATTAAGGGGCCAAATATAGAAACATTCTCCATGTGCAGGCTCACACACAGGAAGCACTTAGTTCATATTTGTTGTATGATTGGATGATGAGCCAAGAGTGAATGCAGGACTGAAAGGACCTGTTTGGAGAGAAAAAAACAAGAGCTTCAGAGGCTACAGACAAGAGGCCCTGCCTAGTGCAGAAATGTCCACCGATACTGTGTCATGTGTCATGCAAGTCAAAGCCAATGTCATTTGACATCAGGGGAGAAGTGTCAAAAGCTCTCCCAGCCTGAACAGAAAGGAAGTGGCTGGTGTCCCTGTCAAGGGCCGGAGTGTGAATCGGGGACATTCTTGCCTCCCAGTGCCACTGGGGCTGTGACCAGCCACTCTGTACTCAGGATGGCATATGATGAAGGGGAAGTTGGAGGGGAGTTCCTCTCCAAGGGCACAAAGATTTTAAATTCATAATGTTACACAATTTGTATAGGGGTCTCTGTGCTTAAGTGCTATCTATCCAAGCTACTGCCCAAACCAACACTGATAAGGAAATATTTCATAGCAGGACCTTAAGATCAAGATGCAAATGGAATCCTAAGCTAGCAGAGAAAGCCCATGTAATGAAGTCTAAGAAAGAGCTAAGGCTAAGGATTTCCTGGCCACCAGCCCAGTCACTCCTGGCACATTCTGACCTTTTGCCAACTCTGTTGAGGCTGGACTTTCAAAGCAAGGTTCGTTCCAGCAGTTCCAGCAGCACAGATAAGACAGAAAGCTATATCTCATTATATTTCCTCAACAGTAAGAGGTTAATATTTGATATTCCTATTTCTTTCATCTCTGTCTAACATTTTTCACTTTTGTACAGAGGATGTGGCCACTTTGAAGAACATATACACCATTTATCACCTCTCCTATTTTCCTAGGATATGAGAAGGTAATCCTAGGAAAAAGTGTGTTCATTAACACCCCAGAAAGGCCTCTTACAGTTCTTAGGGTGTCACAACTTCCTATTTAAGAAAAGTGCCAACACCTTGGTGGCTCACCAGGGGGTCCAGCAGAGTGTCCTCCAAGCAGCAGCAGACCGATGGCAAAATGATAGCAAAAACATCACTTACTAGAACAGAATAACGGATTGTACCCCCATTCATCTAAAATTTATATTCAGTCCAAGGAGATGTAGTAATGGCTCTACTGTGACCTTCATGTGACATTTGATTAAGACACAGGTGGCACCTTTTTAAAAAAAATTCTTTCAAACTGGGTAGAATAGGTCAGTGAAAAGACCAGTGACATAAACACTCTTCTTCAACTGACATAGTGATTAGTGAGGTTTTTATATTTTAAGCACAGTTTCAATCCCCTAATAAGAAATGCCACCTTGAAGAAAGGTGTTAATCATCCACTAAATGTTTCTTGTTAAGTTGCCAAGGCTGGTGTTGCCCCTGATGGCTGGCTTGTAGCACGCATCCCAGCTCTTCTCTGTGTGCCATTCAAAGAGTAAATGTGATATGAGTTATACAATTTAAAAGAAAGGAACTACTGGGCCTCCTTGGTGGCACAGCGGTTGAGCACTGGGTTGCGAAGCTGCCTGCAGCCTCTTCAGCACCAGTTCAATCCCCAGCCACTGGGTGAGGGTCCCACATGGCGCGCAGACCTCTCCTGCCACCTGCTGCTCCCCTCAGCAGTGTACTTCATCAATCAGCCTGCTCTGCTCTCTGCTCTGACTCTGGTGAACTCTCTCACCCTCCCGTGCTTCTGACTGTACCCAGTGCTTGTATAAATAAATAAATAAATCTTTAAAAAAATTAAAAAGAAAGGAACTACTATACTGTAAGAATTTTTAAATTAATATTTGTAAAATATCTTGAGAAATAATAGGAAAAAGTACCCAGCAAACAGAGCTCTGCAATGAAATGACAGAAATGGGAGTAGAAAAGCCAAGCTGGAAGGGACAGGTCATCCTTAGAGCACAAATAACCTCAGCAAAGTGGTTAATTATTCTGAAAAACTTATTCTGGAGTGAAAACGAGGCACATGTTTAGATTTAGCATGCAGTGAGCTGCCTATAATTGTCTAATTTTTGAGCATCTTGATTCTTTTTTTAAGGTTTATTTTTATTTATATATGCATATAAGAACTGGGATACAGGTCAGAGGTGCGGGGAGTGAGAGGATTCACTAGAGACAGAGTGGGGAACAAAACAGGCCAATCTACTGAGATACACTGCTGAGGGGAGCAGCGGGTGAGACAGGAGAGGTCTGATGCACCATGTGGGTCATCTCTCTGGCTAGGGATTGAACTCGTGCCACAGTGGCAGGCGATAGCTTGATGGCTCTGAGACTTTAACCCCTGTTCCATTGGGGAGGCCTGACACATCTTGATTTTTTTAAGACTTTTTATGTAAAGAGCAGTCTAAGGAAGCAGATGGCAAGAATCACACAGGTGACCACTCACCTCCCATGATCTTAGACTGGCAGTTGATAAACTCCGGCTTCCTGTCGGTGAGATACCTCTGGCAGGTGTGGTGCAGAATCTGGAAGAAGGTGCACTTTTCCGAGGCTGTGCTGGCTACCCACTGGTCAAAAGCGTTTTCAAACAACAAATCAAATTCTGCAGAATCCTGGAAAAGACAGCGAAATAACCACTGACCACATGTATAAACACTGCTGCTCCCAGCTTGCCCCATCAGAAGACTCAGAGACTAAAACAGGTGTTTCAACCTGTTAGAGCTTTGTTCCTCACCATAAGGCTCATCTTTATTAGCAACCAGCTGTATAGAGAGCACACTTCTCTCTCTTCATCAAGAAAACCCCAAATCTTGCAGTATTATACATGTCTTGGGAAGCTACTATCACAGGAGCCCCTAATTACTTATTGACTTAAGTGCCAATTCAGACTACATTTTACTTTCTCAACTACTTGGAAAGGATTCTTACATGATCTTAACACTGAACCCTAATAATCTTGTCCCTTTGTTAGGGAAATATTCCTCTTATTCTTTTATTTTATTAAAGATTTTATTTATTTATGCATACAAGAGCTGGGATACAGGCCAGAGATGTGGGGGGTAGAGGATTCACCAGACATAGAGTGGGTAACAGAATAGGCAGACTGACTGAAATAAACTGCTGAGGGGAGCAATGGGCGAGATAGGAGAGGTCTGCTGCACCATGTGTGTTAGTTTCCTGCCAGGGGATGGAACTCGTGCTGCAGTGGCTGTGAATTGCTTTTTAGTGCTGAGACTTAAGCCCTTGTACCTCCAGGGAGGCCCACCTCCTCTTAATATTTTAGTACACAGTTACAATTTACATTTCCTTCTTCGTCATTACTGATGTTATGGTGAGGGGGTGTGGGTAAAAGGGAATATTTTGAGTAGGTAATTCTACGATAAAACATTTCTCTCATGAAGTCCAGTGGGATCCTAATAACTAATTTGTAAGGTATCATTCATTAGTTTGACTTTTGGCAAATAGAAGTCATCATTGGGAGAATTAGGCGTTAAATGACACTTTGAAGAACATGGTTTTTCACAGTGATAACCGTGGATGTATTATCTAAACTCTGCCTTTGCACTTTCTGATAAACACATTATTGGCGCTGATCTTTGTTCAGTATGCATTCCCTTAGGCTTCTCTACCAAACATAATGAAAAGATTTATCATTTCCCTTAAGAAAATGACAGGGATCAGAAAAGTCACGGTCACATAAATGAAATAGAGAAATAGCCTGGTTAAAAATGACGCAGACAACTGCTACCCTGTCAAGGTCAAGTGCGAGCCGTGTGTGAGGCAAGCACCCTTGCTCAGCACTGGACACTGCTCTCACCCGATTAGGATCGATGCCATTGACCTGGCGAAGCTGCTCAAGCATCCACTGTGATCTCCGCACGAATGATGTGGAGCCTTCAAATTGTTTGACTTTCGTGATGGACGCCTGTGTGGGCTTCTTGTTCGTCACTGCCAAGAAAAGACCACTCAGATTAGTGGTGTGCAGGCTGCATTGTTCCCTCATTTAGTGGTGTTTCTATTTGACACCTACATGCACATACACAAGTATGGAGAGAAAGTGAAATAGAAAGAAGTAGAGAGAGAAATATAAATATACATGTATATTTACGTAAATCTATCATCCATCTATCTGCCTGTCTGTCTATGAAAATGACAATGAATGTATACCTTTAGTGAAAGTGAACTCAAAAACTCAAAAAAAAGTTTTATAACCTCCACTGTCAAGCAGTTAGAATATAATCACAACTGCAAGGTATGCTTTGTTTATGTCTTCATCCATTCAAACCAGACACAACTTATTGGAATAACATCAAGTCCTTTAACGCAGGCCACAGCATACAATTACTGACTAGGGAAAGAAGCACATAGGGTTGAGGGACATGAGGCAGGGTTCAATGAGGAAGGCTGAAATTTAAAGGAAGTACAGGTTACTGGCTCCTTAGGGAATTACAATATGTATTTGTGATTTATAATCTGGTGTAAATATTTTGGACTTCAATTATAAGGAGTAATACCTCCCATACACAAAAGAAAACAAAACTATTTATCTCTAAAATATAGTCCACTTGGTATCTAGTTTGTGTCTGATTATGACTGTATCTGTTCTTAGGAGACCCCACCCCCCAGGTGAATTCCTGAGGTTACCACACCTGCAGGACCAGGATGGTCCCCTTCCAGTCTTAGTTGGTGCTTCTGCTAAGGATGGACAGCACCACCTCTCAGACAGAGGTCAAGCCTAGCACCAGGACAGTCAACTTGACTATTTCTATATCTGCTCATTTTGTGACTTAGAGCCTCAGTGGTGGGGTGGGGGATGCAATAAAGTATTTTGAAAGGGCTTTCCTAAAAGCTCCTCCTTGAGCCCTGGCTGTGGGAATTGTAAGATTATGTAGAAATGATGCAATGGAAAGAGCCAGGAAGAGTGGAGAATGCTTCTTTGTAATGAACAAAGTCCTAATAAGACTTATTTCAAATATGCCCCCAGAATTCACATTTTTCAAATAACATGGCAGATGCTTAACAGATGGCAAAAAGAACCCTTGTGGGAGGGAGGACAGAAAGCACCTACTCCAGTGACTGGCTGTTTCATGCATACCATAATTTAGTGTAGTCTTAGTGTCTGGAGGTCATTAAAACAGGAAATCAGGGATCCCGAGGGCAATGAAATGTGGACACCCTGCTTTTAGATCCGGTAAGAACCCAAAGGCAGCACCAAAAACTGTTTTTCAGCCTCAGTATAATCTCCTCACTTTGTTCCTAACCAGAATTTAGCAAACATTTTACAAAATTTCAAATAATACTTCAGGTTTATTATCCATCATCTCTCTTATATTTGGCTAAAAGTTTCTGAACGCTTTGCCCCAATTACATTTACATTTATGGTTAAAAAGTCATCATCCTCTGGACATCCACAATAAGAGGCAATTTTATAGTCTTCTATTCATAAATGGCCTCCCTGGCCCACAGCTCCATGTATCAGTCTGTGAGTCCCATTAGAAATAACCGTTCTCCCAACTAAATTCAGGCAATATTACCAACCTGCCCAGGAATCTGTCCATCTATCCATTTAATTCGTTTATTTTTTCAAGTCTCCTATGACACAAATATGTTTCTCTGACAGTCATGCCCCGCTCTTGTGCTTTATGTTAAAGGAAACACCACACCTGGGATACATGCGGGTCCTTAAATGTGCTTAAAAGATTAAAGAATGCTTTTCAATAACAGGAAAACATGTGTTCCTGTATTAGACACACACCCCTAAACACACAAAGAGGATTTCCTCCCTCATTTATGTAAATCACACGACATTCAGGCATCCTGGGAAACACGAAGCCCTTTCCTTCTAGTTAAAGTTGTTGTGAACGCCTATTTCTACTTCTGGTCCATTTATTTCCAAGGAGTTTACAGCACTATAAAAGCTCAAACACAACACAGGATGGCTGGAGTTACTGCATGTGGGCATTTCAGGAAGGCCTGCCACATTGAAAGTCTGTCACTGACCTGAGAAGGGCAGAAACCCCACCCACACGACAAATACCCCATTCAATGGGTCACACTAAGAGGTACAGTTTGCAGAGGCAGCTACAACTCATCCATTCCTGCCTCCCCCTCCACCCTCCATTAGTTTATTCCTTGCCCACTTGCAGGAATCTGGGTAGCTTTCCTGGGCACTGAGCCCGGTTGGATTTAATTTTTGTTTATTGTTATTATCTCCAACATCCCAGTTTCTATTTTGAAGCAGGTGTCTTAAAATTATATTATTATATACACACTATATAGAGTTAAATAAAGACTTGCGCCTTCTGAAATCAAAACACTTGCACAAACACACCATTGCCGAACTTTCTGAGTTCCATGAAGCATGGAAGAGCCAATTTTTAATTCCTTCTTGGCTTTAGTGTTTTTGGTATCTAGAACTGATTAAAAAAAAAATAAGCCAGACGTCTAGTGAAAAGCAATCATTTGCTTTCTCCTTCCAAAGGAAAACTGATAGCATACCCTGGAAAACACAACCAAATGACCTGGGTCAGTAATACCACAAAGTGGCAAGTTCAAGTATCTCCACGTGGCCAACTCCATCATTATCATTTTGAATAATTTTAAAAGACACTCTGTCATGGCTTCAACACTCATGAGCAGATGGTAAATAGACAGACATTTACAAGGGTAGGGGACATGATACTCTCAGGCGATACTGCGACCACCAGGAATCAGTCCTGTCCCTTGGTTCTTCACGCCAATTGTCCATCAGAATCCCCTGGGAATTTTACCACAAATACATCAAATTGTATGAATCAGAATCTCTGGGGGAATGGCACTAGCTGCTATATTTTAGATCTCCTTAGTTGATTCTGAGAAACACTAATTGCTGACACCACTGAATTTGTATATTTACGCATTTAGCACATTATATATGGAACATTTATAAGATGGAAGACACACAAGTAAGTTTTGTGGGCAGTGCAAAGATTGAATAAGATACGGTTCTGAATTGAGAACCTTGTGGGTGGGGAGGAGGATGAAAATGGTACAAAACAGTACTATAGCACAGTAGGATTAGTGACTAGCGTCATCTGAGGTGTCGTGAGGTGGGAGTGGAGGGCACTTTAGAGGTCAAGGGAGAGTGGGGGAACATCAGGGAGGCTTCATGCAGACGCCACGTTCCAGGCAATATACCATGAACCCTGGCCTGGATTTCTATGACTTCCCCCCTCCATTGGCTTCTCTGACCAGCCTGGCCATTCAAGTAGAACTACAGGAGACTGATCCATCTATTAAAAACTTCCTAATCGGCTACTAGTGGGGAAGGGAACATGAAGACAGGAGCAAAGTGGGAGAGGGGGGTCCAATGGTTTATGGTAAAGGAATCTGGGTACATGAATGGTGGGGGTGGTGTGGGGACACACGCCTGAGCAGGTGTGAACCTATTCTCCTAGATCATATGCAATGTGTAAACCAATGTAAACCAATGTTACCTCAATATAGAAACATACATACATACGTACATACTCATCAATGGCATCCCAAAGTATAGGTTAAGTTTTGGGGCTGTTCAAGTCTAACATTTCTTTTCCAGTTGCTCCCACCTCTGGGACCCCCCCATTTTTCTACAGTGCTACCAGAGAAAGACAGAAGCATGGCCAACCAAACCTAGCTCTTTTGCTGTCAGTTCTGATGAAAAGAATGTGGTTTCCATGGCTGCAGGCTTCCTCCTTCGCCTTCATGTAGAATTGATCAACAACTCCACTATAGCTAGGAAGCTGTTGATAGGGACTATTTTATCTGGAATATCATTACTGTCATCACTCAAGTGGTATACCATCTCTAGCTCCCAATGGCTTAGAAAGGTCTTTTAAAAATGGTTCCTCCATGAAATGTTATACAAAGACACTAAGTTGTACTCAAATTGTGGAGACCAGTGACCTTGGTTTTGCCCAATCAGAAAATTCTATAGCAAAGCATCATGTTAGTCAGATCAAACCTGGTTTTGTAAAGTCAACAAGATGGATGAGGAGACAAACACTGATGAGGAAAGGAACTGTGGAGATGCAGGTTACTTGCACATTGTGCAAAACAGAAGAGTTCAGACTGCCTGTGGTTAAGAGCCTAATCCTCTTTTCAACGGCCAGTGATTGAGAACACTTTTTCTTAAAGTGCACTCTTTTTCCTACAATCTCATTACTCACAACATCACTTCTCAATCATTCCAAACAGGAAAATTAATCTTTGCCTAAGATGCTAAGATAGCTAGTCTTAAGAAATGAATAATCAGCACGTAAGCAGAATGATCACACACCACCTCTCCATCATCTAGATATTTTTGCCTATTTACTAACATTTGGGCAAACATGTTCTTTACATGTTAAGCTCTGAAACGTCTTATAACTTTATTGATTTTTCTCTCAAAATAAGGTGAAGGACAAATTGTCTCTAAAACATAATTTGCTATTGAGATAAGGCAGCTAATACACAGAATGTATCATACCTACACACCTAAGAGACTTAAATTATCCTCATGCTTAGTCGCAGCATGGTCTTAGAGTTAAGTGAAGGTTAGAGTTTTGTGGCAGGTCTTGACCTCTGCTCTGCTGGAGTCTAATGGCTGCACATTTTGATTTCAACTGTTTATGAAAAATAAACAATTTGGAGAAAAAGTGGCCACATAAAATCCTATCAGGGCTGCTCTTTGGCTGTATCAGAGGTGACTTACATGGGGGGTGGGCAGTAGTTCAGAAAGTAAAAGCAAGAGTGAGCACACCTTCTGGAGGCTGATGTGATGAAGAAATGGGCTATCAGGACAATGAGAAATGATTGTTTGGGAATACTGCTGCCTCCAAACTCAATGTATAATCACCGTAGGTGGATTTCACAGCATCTATGGAGAAATAAATACCAGGTCTGAGGCTATATCAGCAATTTTATCCAGTGAGGTGCTGAATGTGTACAAA